GAGAGAGAGAAAGAGTGAGAGAGAGAGAGAGGGAGAGAGGGGGGGGTAGGGAGAGAGAGAACAAAGCAGGGATAGAGAGAAAGAGAGAAAGAAAGAGAAAGAAAGAGAAAGACAGAGAGAGAGAGAAGATGGCATGAGTGATTAAAATGAGTAAAATGCTTGGTTATTCTACCAGACCCTTAATTGTGAGATAGATATAAGCTGGTTTATGGGGTTCGAGCCTCAGCTTAGTCCGATCCGAGGTTGTGTCCTGGGGAAAGGCACTTTACACAAATTTTTCCACCTGGCTCGGCCCTTTCAGGGATGGACATTAAATAATTCGGAGGTCCCGTCTCAAAAAATAACCTTACAGTGTCAAAAGGGACATTAAATGTGCATAAACTAAAACAAAATTCCCTCATCCTCTCATCCTTACCCAATCTTCTGCTCCAACTCGGCCCTGTCCTCCGTCAGTATGTGAGGATTCACCGTCAGGACGTGCCCGAGTCTGTCCGCCGGAACTCCGACATCGGCCAGGAAGCGGATGTACGGCATGATGTCGCGCTCGAAGTCGGACCTCACCAGCAGGGTCGACATTCCTTCCACCTGCACAGATTAGACAAATTTTAAGAAGTCATAATTTGAAGATCAAACAAAAACATACATTTTGAATAACATAGAGTAAATAGTCATAATTGTTCATTACTATTAGTATTGTAACAAATTAGTTTGGGCCAAAAAAAATTAGCTTATTGATTTGTCATTCATATAAAATGATTTCCATTAAAAATTAATGAGACTCTCCTCAAAAAAAAAAGTGAGGCATTATGGTGAAATCAGGCACTCGTCAAAATAATGAAATCAAAGAAACAGGCATTTTTCCCCCAGTTTGGCAAATCTTAATGAATTTTTGGGGTTTTTTGTTCATCACCTTTATGTCCATATATATGTATAAAAACACATTTAACTTCCATGTGAATTTTACTGAAAAATGTTGATTAAAGGCACAAAATATATGTAATTTTTCAGTTTTCAAGGACTCTCAAGCTATTGAAGTTACCGGTACCAAACTTTGTTGGCCATTTTCTCACTAGATTTACAACTGAAACCAGATGACCCCGCCACTTTCAATTGCAAATATCTCAATTTCTATTAAGATAGAGATGAGCATTTTTTTCATTGATAGCAAGACAAATGAACAAGCTTTCAGATGATAACAACAACTCCACATACCCAAAAATTTACAAGCACCCGATTCCACCGTGTCATGACACATACGTATATATGTACATCCTCAAGACAGTTATCTATCCAGGACAACAATTTACCTCCTCGACAATAAAGGTGGCCATCAAGGACAACTTCGACTTTACTCAGTTACCTGTTGAACCACGCTTAGGTCCACTCCGAGCTGAACCAACTTCTGCAGAGTTTCTGACCGATTCACGAACGGCACCAGGTTCATGGCTCGTCGAGACAGCTCCGGAACAGACAGATCAGCGGCAGGTCTTGAGTGCAGGTCGACAGCTGACGAGTACAAAGACATCATGATTATCTGAATGAGTAATCAACCATACATCACAGCGAGTGCGAGTTTTTAATTGCACGAATACAAGACAGAGGTCTCGAAGAAAAGATCTGTCACAGCCTTCAGAAAAAAAGAGCTTTCATCAAAAAACACATTCATTATGATTCATACTTTTAGGTCTTCTCTAATACGCTTTTTAATAAACATCTTGAGCTATGCAATCAGGACAAATTATTATTATGCATGATAAAGATGACAAGACGTCTCTCTTAAGCAGGAAATGACAAGTCAGAACTGGGCACCCACCACTATTACATCAGATTACTTTTTAAAACTTTTATTAAAATTATGTAAAGCAGGAAAGGTTTTATTGTAATGTATCTTATGCCCTTTAAAATTCTCGATTGATAAACCCAGGACCCCGTGAAATTCAGGACTGTTGACAAGTTACAATAAAAGCAACTCTGAACAGAAAAAGAAGGAGCACATCATATCACAGCACTGAACAATCATCCACAAAAGATACTAAGAGAGCTTCGAAACAACACTAATCTGATAGAAAAAGGTACGGTTAATAAATGAGCCTGAAACTAAAAACACTTTAAAATTCCAAAACATACACACGACACATTTCATGGTACTCACAGGAATCCTGTGAAGTGGTGGTTAGATCAATCGACAATCTATCATCACTATCGTCAGCGTACTCTGCCAAAGCTGAGCCTTCTGTCTCCCCAAGGTTTCCCTCGACTTGCTCGGCAGCGACAGCAACATCCAACACGTCAGCTTCTCTCCGCTTCCTCTCCAGCCCCCGCCTCGAACCTCTGCTGTAGCATCTTATTGAAAAGTCTTTTACTTGTACACGCCAACATTGAGGTTCAATATGGCCGAGTCCATTTGCTTGACGGAAACTTAAGCGACAGGATGAATCAGGAGATCTGCTTGAGTGCAGTCGCATGGATGGTGTATATTTCGTTGCAATATGACCTTGAAGAGAAGTGCCCATTGGTGCTGAGCCAGACAAAGGCAAACATTTCCTGTGTACATGGAGAGCTCTGCACATCATCTGTACTTCCAATAAAAGTTTAACCCTCTTTAGAAAGCAGCATTGGGTCTGCATCAAGTTCCTGATCACTATGACCTGCATGTGAAGAAGAAAAGGATCAGTCATCAATTTATCAATGACAGAAAAGACGGTGATTTTGTAGTTTCGTTCGTTAAAGTCAAAAGTAGGGGGGTTTCAGATTTCCCCCCAGAGCTAATAAAAATATGGAGGGGGGGCCTGAATTTTACCATAATTTGATGTTTTGCAGAGGTTGCATCCCTGTTCTTTGTGTTGCCTATTTGGTCATCAAGACTTCTGGATTTCTTCTCTGGAGGTAAACAAATGGATCGTGAACTTTAACGAACGGAACTACAAGACCACCGAAATGACTAGTACTGAATTTCGATCAGAATCACTAGGAGGCCTATCTTGGATGGAAGCTCAGATTTCCGATTTGTCTACTCAGACTACTGTCTTTTAGCAATACGAAGGTTCTAAGAAATCACAGCACGCTTAAAATAAGTTACTTCATGCCATCATGACAGAGAAGAACAGAAAGTAGGCCCTACTACCATGTCAAAGTTTTCTTCCGTCTTTCATGTATTTATTTTCTTTCGTCACTAAGCACTTGTGACAATGACATTAGGTAGCCTTACTAGAAATCTATTGCCATAACAATAGCAGACTATAGTATTATTAGCTCGGGGTCTTGAGTCAAGAGGATGAATTCTAGGATTTTTGCGATTTAAAAAAAAATTGTTATTGTAAGAGTTGTACAATGACAAGGGTGTTTTATTTGGATTGTCAGAAGTACAAGAAAAAATTGTTACCATTTTTTCAGCTTGAACGGACCCTCCGTCCCAGAGCACGGTATGAGAACGCTGCACTGAAATAAAATTCAAGTAGATCTAGAATCTAGAGTCTAGATTCTAGGACCTACATGAAATGTAACTGCGATCCTAAATTCTACTTTCGATTTTCGATTCTATTGTACTTTTCCTCGCTTGTCCTTGCTTACGTGTTTCCTCGCTTTTAAAAATTGTTTCGTTAATTATCTCCATTTGGTGTTTTTTTTCTGAACTATATTTCCACTAAGTTTACGAAATAATAATATGCTTACAATTATTCTGGCTTTGCATTTTTCCAAACTGCATTTACTCTCTAGATCTAGCTGTTTGAAAAATCTAAAGTCTTTGTTTGATGATAATCATAGAATCTACAGACCACGATCACTGCTATTCCGTACATATTTTTTTGTTAATGTGTCAATGTTGTAAATCATTGAGTTTGCCTCATCCTAAAGCGTTAACCCGTAATGACGTGATAATACGCATTGCTCAATTTGCACACAGTGTGAAGTTAGACCAAAAAGAACATGCAAATTGATATTTTCATTTGATCGACGAATGTTTCTTAGAAAACGCTAGTATTATTTATTTCATATTCTGTGTACTAGATTAAAGTTTTCAATTTAGGACTGGTTCAAAGAGAACTTTTTCCTCCTTGTGTAAAAGTAAATTTATAAGAATATAAACATATTTGGCTCTGACAGGGAGCAAAATCTGGGTTTAGCAATCGAAAGTAGCAACAGCAACAACAACAAATTGGTGATTTTCAAAATGGAGGGAGACGAGTCCTATCTTGAACTCAGCGAGTTTGTGAATATTGAATACAGCGTTGGTCTCATTAAAGCTCAGGTACTAATGCGTTAGATCTAGAAAGTATTTGTACATTGTCTGCCCTATTCAGTGTGGCACTTCACTTGTTGAAAGCCATTACGATGTCATTATTAATCTAGTCTAATATCATACATAATTTTAGCAGACCGATTATTTTGATTCATTATGAATATATGATTAAGTTGATTAAGTTCGGTTAGGGATGGAATATTTCTTCCCCACCTTAGATCTATTCCTTATTCTAAACAAGCAAGCCTTCAATAAAACTTTGATGAATAAGACCTTTGAGCAAAAATTAAATGCTAATGTACAGAAAGTGAAGTTCAACAGTTGTCACGATTCAGTTTTTTAACAGATAATTTAATAATTATAAGATTGTGCATGTTGAAAAGGAGAAATAGACCTCATCGGATTTGTCATAGGAAGATTATATGTTTCATGAATTTGGTATCTGATGATATAATCTTACAAACCGGGCAGCTCTAATGATAAAAGAGCCATTGTTTCCCATTTTGTTAAAAAAAATTTGATAGAGGTTGATTGTAGAGAAGTGGAGGGCACTTTTTGTATTTTACCTTTTACAAGAGGGCCATTACATGTTGTATGTTTTTGAATGTATCATCTTCGTCTTTTGTTAAATAAAATTTGATAGATATAAAGTGCCAAGTATTTTTTCTCACTTTTGTGTACACCGGTGACATATTTTTATCATTGTCTTTAATTTCTGTAACATTGGGTAAAATGTAACCTATGAATTTTTTAATATAGGTTTACGCATTCTAGTGGCCAGTGTAACTCAAATGTCCCTATGGTGATCTGTGGAAGTTGTGTCTTATTCTAACTTTATTCATTTTATTCCTCTGCCAATAATTTACAATGAAAGAAAAATATTTTTATATTTCAGGCTCTGGTCCGTGGTTGGCTTGTGAGGAAGCATCTACTAGAAATTCAGCAACTGTATGAGGCTATAGTGAATGACATCGATGGTGATAGCGCAATGGTCTCTTGGTCAAGTGGCCAGTTGGGTTATCCAGTGATCAGAAAATGTAAAGCAAACGTTCAGAAACCAAACACAGCGTCAGAGAGGATGGTGCAGAACCAACGACTTCAGAGGGAGAAAAGATGGCCACACAGCAGCAAAAAGTCTCTCGAGGATCACCGTTTTATTCCAACGAAAGAGACCAGTGAGACGCCAGGAGCAGCAACGATTCAGACGCGCCAGACAGACTCAAACAACGAGATACTCTCAACCTCAGAGTTTAGTCCTTGTTTAGAAACACAGTTTGGTACTGCTTCGACTCAAACAAATGAAAGAGAGACAACTGCCGAGTTTGCTTTGAGTCCTGAGAGTCGTATTGTTTCAGACAGAATTGTGATGCCTAGTCGTTTATCTTGTGTCAAATCAGACTCACACATGGTGGGGACCAGTTCGAGAATGACATCTATTGCCATACAGACTGATGATGTCTCTTTTCCAGGACGACACAATTCCGATATAGTCTCCTCAAAATGTCAGAACCCGACTCATCACTACGCACAGTCTGAGGATGCTGTCAAACTGGCAGATGACGACTCTATTTTTACTCACCAGCAAAATCGTTCTCCATCACTCATAACAAACACTCATGATGCCGTCGAAATTTCAATTGGCACCGGTCACACTGAAGAGCCACAGAGAGTGACTCCAGAGGTGTCTGAACAAAGGGAAGATGAGAACAAGGATGAATATGATCTCAACAAAGTTGTGTCACAAACTGAATATTCATCGCCAAAAGAAGACAAGACTGTGCCTGGTTCACCTGTGTCTGCTGGAGGTTAGGAAAGTTTTCTTTCTTTATGTTGTCTGCAATGCCTAAAAGATCACGATCAGTTCCTCATGCATACATCGTGCATGTAGGAGACAAGCATTGACCCTACCTGTCTAGGCCAACCCAGGCTGAGAGGGACAAGAGGGATACAACGTCCCAGGACAAATGACAGAGATACTTGATAAAAATCCACCCCATACAGTTGTTCTTGGCACGGGGGAGGGGTGGGGGGTTAGTTGTGTTTTTTCTGTATCCTATTTTAATGGCTGCCAGATATTAGTTACATCTACAACTTAAAATGAGTCAGGAATTGTGATGATGAAAGAACCATTACTGATGAGGGTAATATTGTTTTGTTGGGGGGGGGGGGGGTTGCCTTTTCCACCTACTATCATTGGATGTTCTTTTAGCTTGGTTGGTAGCCTATCATGCCGAACTACTGAGTGGATGGCCATGGTTCGAATCTTAAACTGAACGTCCTTGAATTCTGGTTCATTTTGTGGGGTTTTCAAGGCTCTCACTCTCAACCCATTTGGTTTGGTTCTATGGGAGGCAGATGTTAAATTCGGAGGTCCTACCTCTTGAATAACCGAACCTAATAATAGTGTTAACATGAGCGTTGACCCTTACGCTTACTACCTTACTTACACATATCATTTCTTATACCAAGAATAATTATTATGTGAATCTTCAGAAACGCCTCATATCCAATTTTGGGGCGTTGAACCCACTCACTTGCTTACTAACTTCCTTACACCTACCATTTCTCGTACATTATATTTATGTGAATCCTCAGAAACATCCCATATCTAGTTATGGAGCGTTAACCCATTCACTTACTACCTTACTTACACCTATTAGTAGTTCTCATTACATATTAAATATTTATTATTATGTTAGTAAATCTTCAAAAACGTCACATGTCTAGTTTTGGGGCGTTGAACCGACACACTTGCTTACTAACTTCCTTACACCTACCATTTCTCACATATTTATGTGAATCTTCAGAAACATCCCATAATTTACCCGAGGACACAGCGGAGCTGGAGCAGCTCCAGAAGACGACGGCCATGGAGCTACTGTGGGTGCAACAAGCCATCATCAGCCGCAAACATGTAAGCTCATGGTGATACAGTGCAGCCTCTCTTTAACGACGTCATCGGGTCCAAGACTAGAGTTGTCGTTATAGAGAGGCAACGAAAAATCACTATTGATAATAATATATATATATATATATATATATGAAGAAAAAATCGGGACCTGGGCACCAGGTCTCTATACATACAGAGGATGTCGTCGCCTCGAAGGTCGATATAGAGAGGCTGCACTGTGTGTGTGTATATATATATATATATATATATATATATATATATATATATATATATATATATATATATATATATATAATTATATATATATATATATCACGAGTGTTAACGTTAAACAGCCTTTTATGAGGGGGGGGGGGCTATAGCCGAGGGCTATTTCACTGATTTGTGGACCAGATTTCACCACATTTCACACATACATAACAAGCACAGTGTGGACTGAGCTATACAATTTTGGGGGGAAAGTTTTGTTGCCATGGAGACGGTGACCATATTGGATTTTGTTGACGGGTCTTGTAATATAGTCAATAACTCACTTATTTTCAATGGAAACTGGTTGTTATTTTGCATGTATGTTACGAAACAATAACTGTACTGAATCGTCTGTTGAATATTTCCTAAATAAATTAGCAGCTTTTTTATGATATTTTTTTTCCTTGAGGTAGTATTCAGGGCTGCGAAAAATGAGTGCAAGTTCTCTCTCCCAACACCACCAACAAAAATCTATTCCATAATTGTAAATTCAACAGACACTTTTACTTTTACAGTGTTACATCTTTTCATTCTTTGAACATGTCATTAAGATTGGATTTAAGGGGTTCTTGCAATGAAATAGTTGTCAAAGAGTCAGAGAGGCTGAAGAAGCCAAAAATGCCCACATTTCAAAATCGACAATTTTGACCCAAATCGGAACTTTCAGCTGCCACTCTCCCCCCCACCCCCACCTCCTTTAATAAAAATCTACTGTAGTGTTTGCTTATTCTGCCTTTGGGACAAGAGGATCGGGCCAGTGGCATGAGAAAGATTTTCAGGCTGGTGCACATTTGTTAAACTTTGCTTTGGATTTGCTTCACAACAAAACCAACTTTGCCAAGTCTGTGCCGTCTGTGCCGTGTATGTGCCACTGCAAAAGCAAAGAGGGGCAGTGTGCGGGCAAACGTGCTATAGAACATGGCTATGGGTTAGATCTATAGAAATGCCACAAGTATTTTTATTATTATTATTTATTGTTATTATTAGTATTATTTTTTATTAATCATTATTTATCATTATTATTATTATTATTATTATTTATTATTATTTTATTGTTGTTATTATGATTTATCATTATTATTATTATTATTATTCATTATTATTTTATTGTTATTATTATGATTTATCATTATTATTATTATTATTATTATTCATTATTATTTTATTGTTATTATTATGATTTATCATTATTATTTTAATGCTGCTGTTGTAATAATGTCATGTAGAATTGAATGGGAATGGCAAAGATGTGCACCGGAGAGTAAAATTTGGACTTGCAAGGTTTTCTTCCAACCAAATGTGTATGAAAAGTAAAAAGATCACCTGATCCTATGTGAAGAATTTGTCTTATACTTATTGCATTTTAATTTCTGCACTCTCTTTCTCTTTTCAGTACCTGAAACTGAGACAGCAGATTCAGTGAGCAAGACCTGATGTGCCTGCAGATTGTGTTAAGATATTTAATGTGATATATGTATTGGGTATCTATACGGTACCGACTGCTCAGTTTAAGATTCCGTTATGCTTCACTTTTCAAAATGGCGCAGTGAGGAATCTTGCACTAAACAGTCGATATGTGAGGCATTGTGATGAAATTAGACGCTCGTAATAATAAATAATAAATTTTTTCTATGTTCATCAACTTTTATCCATTTAAAAACACATTTCTGGGTAGATTTTACTTTTAGTAAAAAAGCGTTGATCAAAGGCACACAAAAATGTGTATGTATGTGCGAAAGTTTCCAAGGATATTCAAGCTTTGAAAGTTACCAAACTTTGGCAGCATTTTTTCGCCAATTTTACCTCTGACACCAGGCCAACCCAACCTCCTTCAATCACAAATATCTCGACTTATATTCATCATATTCTTGAAAGATGGGTTGTTGGGTGTTTTTTTAGTGAAAACCAAGACAGATGGACACAAGGATATATACTAATAACGCCATGCCCAAAAACTGACGAGTGCCTGATTCCACACATGAAGATTTATGCGACTTTGTGTGACAGCTTGATTTTGTAAAAATACTTAATCATGATCAGATGTGGTCATATTATAATTTTTGATAGAATAAACCATTAAAATTGCCTGCACTTTAAAGTTAATGTTTGAATTAGTCATGTGCCTTTTTGCATTACCTGCCTGTACTGTTTGGGGGGGAGGGGGGGGGAGTTGGGTTGTTTTTTTTACATTAAGCATTTGGATATAATGTTCTATTATAAATATGCCAGTATTGGTGGCATACTCAAATAAATTGATCCGAGTGTTGCCTCCCTCTGAACTCTACATTGTTTGTTTTGTTTTGTTAATAATGTTAATGAGAGTTGGAAGGTGGGTGGTTGGCAGGTGCTGTGGGGTGGTTTGCAAGTGCTACAAAACTCTTACTAAAACTGAAAACATTGCACAAAATACAAGAGGCTAAGGGCACTCATGTCTTGATACTTCTGGAGATGTTTTATAGACCAGCCCCCCATATAGTGTGAAGTGTGTCGGTTTTACGCCCCTAGGCCCTATCAACACTGTAACTACAAGATGTATTAGGTTATTTTATAAGGTGGGACCTCCGCATTTAACATTTTAACATCCGTTTTGATAGGACCAAGCCAAAATGGGTTTGAAAGCTTTTGGTTTTTTAAAATCTTTTAGTTAGGTTTTAAGGCGCTCGCAACTGCATTCAAGGTCATATGAGCACCAAGGGATGGATGTCAACAGAGAAGTCCTAATGGGGAATCAGCCTTACTCTGCTCACTTCTCTAGCCTCAGCAACACAAAGTCTGCTTCGACTATCAAGGCTTCCCGGAAATAGTAATAGTAGTTCACAAGAAAGTGACAAACATGCATAAGAAGTAGAGGAAAAATAACAATAGTAAGGATGAGGAAAGAAAAAGCAGCAGTTCCCCCTTTTTTATTCCGGCACAGTATGAGCCTGACATTGATAAATCAGCCCATTTACAATTCTACTGTGCATAAGACCATGTTAATACCCCCCCCCCCCCCTTTTGGGAATGGCCTACAGACAACTTCAGTCAGTAGCACTGCCCTGGTGGGCTTTCGTGGTCTAGAGGTTATAATAAATAAATAAATAAAAAGAAATAAATTACACTTTTATTGATCCCTGAAGGGCAATTTGGTTTACAACGACAAACATACATACATGTACATACTACATACATACATCAATACATAATAATTGTGAATACATATATTATACGTAAATACATGCACAAATATGTCATAAATAAAATACACATACATAATTTATACAAATATTACACCAGTACAGAACCATTTACAACCATGCCATTGCCGGTCGCCACTGTGCAGCGCCCTGTATTTTGAGCTAGGGTTGTCGTGTCTTGCCCAAGGACATACCTCAGTAACCACCCCTGTGATCCCTGTGTCACCGACACACACACACACACACACACACACACACACACACACCAGTGACCACCCGTTTAAACCTAGTGTCACCGACACTAATTGCCTGACATAACTTGAGTCTGACCACACTGCTCACTTAACCACTGGAGTCCCTTTCAAAGATCCAAGGTTTGAAACCTGACAGTGATGGAATACCTGTAGTTTCTTCTTTAAAATTTTCTCGTTTCATTTCCTTTCCTGTTCTCTAACAATGCTCTGCATGTCGTCTGCTTTTGTCCCCCCCCTATCTCCGCCCTACCCCCTCCTCTGGGCTCCTGACTCTTTCTGTATCGTTTCTACTGCTACCCCTTGGCTCCTTCTTACTAATCTTACTACTGTCTTTCAACCACATTCCTGATCTTTGTATTCTTAGGGAGTCTAGGTGTGTTTGTGTGTGTGAGAGAGAGAGAGAGAGTGAGAATGTGTGTGTGTGTGTGTGCAGTGTGTGTGTGTATGTGTGTGTTTGTGCCAAACGCATTCCCAAATCAATGTACACTATAGCCTATGGGTCTTTAATTTTAATCTTTGATTTCATTTCGCATTTGGACGTGCGTGAGCCAACAAAAATAAAACCTGGCCGAACCAAAACACGCGCACGTATAATTATATCTAGCTCCATCAATTATGTCAAAAATGCCCTACCATCAGCCACAGTTGGGAAACACGTACACCTTAATGATTGGGCTTCTTGGGG